TTTGGGGGACAGATAGAGCTTTCTTTTGGTGGTATTTAAATCACCACTGGGGTTTTATTTTTTACTATATAACAAAAAAAGTACCGAATATTTAAAAAAATAAATAAATAATAGTTTTCCCTTTATTATTTTAGGAAACATTTATTTTTACGCATTTTTTTTGGTAAAATATAAAAGTGCTGGTCACGTCGGGTAAAAGACACCAAACATGCCAACCCTTAAAATTGCGCACGCCCACGAAATTCGTAAAAAAACACCATAGCCAAAAATTTACCATAGGTGACGCTTTAAATGATTTTACCGCTCATCAATTTAGTGTTATCAGTGATTAATGGCCCTAAAATTATTGCTCTCATTGCGACGTTTGCGGCGATATGCAACACGTGCAACATCATTTTATCAATCGTCTTTTTTGCGTGTAGGCGCATCTAACGCATTTTTGCACATCTATGTGGGGGTGGGGGACTTAAAAAAATTTGTGGGGTTTTTTTTGTTTTGTGTGTGTACGTTTTTATTTATTTTGTGAGCAAATTTTTTTTTTACACTTAGTGACAATAAACCCTCAGATTTTTTTACATAAAACAATACTGTAATGTGTGCCTTACTGTAATCCATGGTGGTTTCCCTTCTCTTTGCTGCTCTTCCTTTTAAATCCGTATCTCTTCTCATGCTGGGCAGAACTTCTGTTTTGCAGCAGACTGCCTTGTCTCAGGAATGGATACATGGTGTCTGTGTGTAGGTTCACAACCTGAGCCAGCACTACAGGAAGAGGCACTCAGCTGCAAAGGGAAGTTCTCCCCAAGCATGAGAAGACATGAGGATTTAAAAGGAAGAGCAGCAAAGAGAAGGGAAACTACCATGGATTACAGTAAGGCACACATTACAGTACCCCCCCCCCCCCCCCCTTTGACTAAAAATCACATCAGCATACAGCTCTGCATCCCGATATGAAATAATCTTACATTCATTAAACAACCCTATTTTTCTTTAACTTACAATTTCTTGTTTTTCACTTCCTGGATTGCGTTTGCAAAAATGTGGTAATTGTGCCCACGCATTGCATCCTGGGAAGGTTACATCAGCAGAGCATTGCTGGGAAATCTCATCTGTAATCTCATGAGATCTCAGGGAAAGCCATTTCCCACCTTTCCACTCTGGCACATGTGACGAGGACATGGGACTAGGACATCATCTCAGGGGAGGGAAAATGCCTTTCCCTGAGATCTCGTAAGAATACAAATGAGATTTCCCAGCAATCCTCTGCTGATGTAAACGTCTTAGGATGCAACGCTTGGGCATAATACGTCATTTGTGCCAAAGTGAACCAGGAAATGGATAAACTATTTGCAAGTAAAAGAAAAACATGTTTTATCAGCATGGAGAGCTGCATGCTGGTGTGATTTTTAGTGAAAGGGGGTAAAGGGTCCACTTTAATCACACTTAACCTTAGTGTACCCCAATGCCCTATCCCAAATGTTAGGTGAATTAACATTCTTACCTGTCCTATGTTGTTAAGATCTTGACTATGTCACAAAGCCTCCTCTTCAAAATTGTCCAGTCAAGCCCTGCACTGCAACCTAATTCATCACACTTAACATATATATATCCTAATCTAGCAGTAAAGGAACTTTCCATTTGAATGGAGCATGCCAAGTGCATGTGCAGGACCTGAATGTAAAAAAAAAAAAAAAAAAAAAAGCTGTGTAGGGATGACTATACAGCAAAGATCTTAGTGGAGAGAGACGAGTATCTACATTAATAGAAAAGTTGAGACACTGCACCAGAGCCCACTAAGGCACACTACTAATGTCCTTACCCTTAAAAAAGACTAAAACTGTAGCCAGAGCTTGGCTCTTCGAAAGATACTCTCACAAGCCCAATTAACTTTTAAAGCCTGACTCCTGGCACAAGAAAAAAAAAAAAACACAATCTTTGCACTGGGGGAGGTGGTGATGACACTGCAGGGTTTTTTCCTATCCCGAAGTTAGGCTGGGTTCATACCTGCTCGTTTTTTAGCCAGTTTTTCCGTTCAGTGAAACGCGAGTTTCACTGGCAGTATGATTTTTTTGTTTGTTTTTTTCCTTATTTATTTTCACTCTCAAACTTCCCGACAGCTCCTCCCCTCTGCGACGCGGCAGCTCGCAAGGGATGGAACCCGGAAGTCGGCAGCTGCGGAGGACACAGCGGGGATCGCGGACAAGGTAAGACCTGTACGCTGTATTCCCGAGTGTGGCTCAGGGTTACTGCTTTGTTAACCCTGATCCACACTCGTGAATACCAATGGAAACGCGCGGAAAAACCCCCCAAATAAGCGCCAGTACTTCTTTGGGCGTAGGGCATTTTTCAGTGCGTTCCTACGCCCTGAAATACGCCCAGGTGAGAACCATGCCCATAAGAAAGTATGAGATTTCACTTGCTGGGCGTTTTACAGCGCGTCGATCAGCGCTGCAAAACGCCCAGGTGTGAACCAGGCCTTAGGCTTTAAAGATACTGACAAGGTGATCAACTGAATCCACTAGAGTAAATTCAAACAGTTTAGTTTGTATTTACACATTAAACACTTCCTAAACTCCTCCCCCTCCTAAAAATGCTAACATGGACCTATCAAAAGCTGCAAAGTTAAACGTGTATTTCCACTTTCACAGCCAAACCGGAATAACACTTTTTTTTTAGATTTGTTACATGTTCCCATTCACATAAATCATAAGCCAAGAAAAAAAACAAGCCAAAAATATTTGTAAAAATGCTTCTTGCAGTTCAAATTGCTTCTACTTGGGTTGGGGTTTTTTGGCTTCTTAGGGCCAATTCACACCAGATGCATTGGGGCTGCGCTGGCCATTGTTTTCAGAGCAGCTCCAACGCAAGACAAGGCAATTTCCCTTGTCAAGGACACGATCGGTTCACACCACGGCGTTGTGGTGGTGTGTTTTGAAAGAAAAAGTGCGTAATTCTGCATTTCTTTTTTCAGTGCAGCGGGATGCGATGCAGTACAACAGCTTTGCACCCTGCTCTGCCCATAGAACCAAATGAAATGTCACTTGTGACATTTCAATAAAGTTCGACCAAAAAAAAACAACAAAACAGCGCGTCTGCACTGTGCGAATGTGCAAATGGGCCTTAAAATTTCTACTTGCTTCTCCTTCTTTGTAATGTTAGGAGGGCTGTGAGGGCCGAGGGGTTAAAGGATTACAAAGTATTAACTGGAAAAAAAAAGCCTCTTGCTTAAATAGCTAAGGTCGCCAGCCTCTTCAATAGGCTAACCAGTGAGAACATTTCTGTCAATCAAGCTTACGGATTACTTTGCTTATCCAAACTCTCCACTGGGCACAATCATAACGAATAGAATAAAGAAGACTGAACTTGGCTTCATGCAAATAAAAGGGATTACGGGCTATACGGAAGGATATAGAGTAAGGTACTCACTCCTCACAAGAAACCATGCACGCTTTGCCCAACTCATGTATTGTGAACCTGTTGGCCAGCTTGACATTTCTAAAATCAGCTAGGAGTTTTAAACTTTAAATCAGTCAGATACTGTTACTTTGCATGTCCTTCCAATTTACTTATATCACTCAGACGTTTTTATTGAGGCTTTCCAGCAAATGGGTACAAACATGCACAGCAAAAGGGGACACAAGTTGTACAAACATGAGGTAGTGCCCTCTAGGGATTGGTAGTTGGTAATCAGTATAGGCTTAAGGTTTTGTTATACGATCACATATTGTACCACAGAGATCTGTGGACTAGAGTCTGCTAGGTTGAGGATGTGGGAACAAGTATGGTCACCTCAAGCTGGTCTTGGAGGATATTGATGGAGGGATACCATAGCGTGGGGCATGACAGGAGGGAGAGGGGATAACACTTTTGGCGAATGGAAGCCTGTCAGGTTATGCGCAGGAAAGGTCTATATTGTTCCAAGTAACAGAAGGCCAGCCATGGTCATTATAGGTAGGCTTCATCTCACTGGTGGAGAGACATCATCTTCCATGTCATAGATGAAATTCAGTTGTCTACAACAGTCTTGAATGAATTCCCACTTGGGAATGAGCTGGATCGATATGGGCTCAGTCAGATGCTTATAATTACTGTAGTAAAAGGCTGGGTGTCGGGATCCAAGATAGAACACATCTTCACAATACCATCGCAGGTAGGATGACCATAATAAATTGACAAAAAAACACTATATAATCCTTTTGTTGCACTATTCCCTATGTAAACAAAACATAGCTATAGGCTAGGCTAGGGCACTAATCTCAGACATTGAAAAAAATCTAATGCAAAAATCACTATTTTAGTGCTACTGCAGGAGATCTTTAGTAGCTGAACTGGGCAATCAATCTCTTATGTAGTGGCTTAAAGTAGTTTGGTACTAACAGATCAACAAAACTTGCCTGTGTATCCCTAGCCTTCCTTGGAGATGCTGGAAGTTATTTTTTTATGTGCTTATGTGATGTAGATCCTAAATATTACTGCTACTCAAACCAATGAGAAATAGGCTAACCAGAGTAACGGTTTTAAAGTGACACTAAACTCAGGAGTTAAATCTTAAAAATGCTTTCTAGTACCTTAACTATTAACAAGTATGTATCTTGTGTGTATTACTTCGTGATAGAACCTCAAATCATCACTGAATTGGTGCCGACACTGTCCTTCCTTCTGGAACGAGGCTACTTTTGTTCCTCATGTTCCCCGTGTGTGTGTTGTAAAGTAGCCACCACTCCAACCTCACTCCTGCGATGGACTACAATCTCCCGTTTAGTTTACTAATGAGTAACTTAACGTGAAATTGTAGTCCATCACAGGAGTGAGCTTGGAGGGGTGGCTACTTTACAACACACATAGGGACCATGTGTGTGGGGAACAAAAGTAACCGCCCTCCAGAAGAAAGGCCTGTGAAGGGCCTTCTGTATACTATTTTTTTTTTTTTTTTTTAAAGTTTGGGCTAAAACACACTTTATATCATGTCTAGGTGCCTTAAAACAATAATAAGATTACCATACCATTTATCACCACCGCTCCGATTGTGTGCAGAATGAAAGTCTGCGCTTCAACCATGCTTCTGAAAGTTTGTCCTTCCCACAACTGGACCTAACAAATTAAATGGAAAACAGATAAGTAAAGTTCTATGTCAGCAAAAAAAAACATATAATCCATGAACACCATATTGATAGCTTAAACCTTGTCATCTTGTCTTACTGTTCCTGTCTCATATGGGAACCCATGCACAATCCTCCAACCTTTTAGCTCACAAACTCCCCCTTTTATATACTCACTGAATCCAAGGCCCACTTTCCCCACCCACCAAGCAGAGGTGTGGACCTGAGAGAGACAACTTCCTCTCAGAGCCACTCCTTTGCTAGGTGGGTGGGGTTTCAATAGCCAGCCTGCTATTGGCTAATAGCAGGCTGGCTATTGCACCCACCCACGGATCAGAGGAGCGGACCTGAAAGAGAAATTTCTCTCCGGTCCGCTCCTTTGCTCAGTGGGTGGGGCTTCAATAGCCACTGCTATTGCAATTTGAAACAGCCAATAGTAGTGGATATTGCTCTCAGCTGCTTACACTCACCTGTCGGCTGCGGAAGCTAGCCGGCAGGTAAATGGGGCTGCGGGCTCCGCAGGGGGGTGGTTGCTTGAAAATTACTATTAACTCTCAAGCAACCAGAAACTACAGTTATCCGGTATCTACCAATACCCTTACGTGCCGGAGAACTGGGTGTTTACTGTACTCCGACTTAGCCTGCCATTTCTCATTCCAGCTACAGCAGCTGAAGTTCAAGGTAAAACAAAAAAGCATTGTTTGATACAATAAACACAATAAAGAGAAAATATTATCGAAGGGATGGGGTGAATGGGCAATGTATAAGCCTTAGAGCAAACCTTGCCCCACTTCAATTATCTTTTTTTTTAGAAATCCAACTCTCTCCAAGCGGACTCTGCCCACTGGCAATACAACTTTTTATAATACCTGCTATATTTTATGTATTGGCAGAACAGCACAGCTACCATGGTATTTATAATCCCAGGTGCAATCCATAAGGTGTACATAATGATTGCAAGTTATTTACCGTTAAGCGGCAATAAAAGTTAAACATTAGTAGCCAGTAGAGGCATTTTCTTACCACTGCAATTGGAGAAAAATGTAAAAAAAAAAAAAAGTCAAAACCTCTACCTGGTGCTCAAACCTGCCCCCTCTAATTTGCAGCGGTATAATGCAAACAGCTAAGCTAGGCTACCAATGATTAAATATGTGGAAGATTTGGTAGAAAAATCTTGCCAGCTACCAGACTCAATATCTGCATGAAGAGACAGAGCATGTAATTTCACAACAGTGGAAGTAAAGAGTAAATACTTGCTAGGGGATCGAAGATAAAACAATTATACAATTGTGACAAAGTAACACACACCAACAGGGCAGCAAGATAAAGCAAAATAAAAATTCTAAAAATGCCACACACACACACACAACTTCCCTGTGTTCTATTCCTAAAGTCCTTGCAAAGTAAAGAAAAAAAATACCTTTACGACCTGCTAGAACTCCTAAGCCCTGTTTGTAAGCTGGCATGACACTGCATTTTTGAGGACAGAGGTGTCAGCCCTGGCCAGTGTGTTTAGCTCAACCACTGAACCTCTCCGTCTCTCAGATACACTATATTGCCAAAAGTATTGGGACACCTGCCTTTACACGCACATGAACTTTAATGGCATCCCGGTCTTAGTCTGTAGGATTCAATATTGAGTTGGCCCACCCTTTGCAGCTTCAACTCTTCTGGGAAAGCTGTCCACAAGGTTTAGGAGTGTCTATAGAAATGTTTGACCATTCTTCCAGAAGCAAATTTGTGAGGTCAGGTACTGATGTTGGACGAGAAGGCCTGGCCTGCAGTCTCTGCTCTAATTCATCCCAAAGGTGTTCTATCGGGTTGAGGCCAGGACTCTGTGCAGGCCAGTCAAGTTCCTCCACCCCCAACTCGCTCATCCATGTCTTTATGGACCTTGCTTTGTGCACTGGTGTGCAGTCATGTTGGAACAGGAAGGGTCCATCCCCAAACTGTTCCCACAAAGTTGGGAGCATGAAATTGTCCAAAATGTCTTGGTGTGCTGATGCCTTAAGAGTTTCCGTCACTGAAACTAAGGGGCCAAGCCCAACCCCTGAAAAACAACCCCACACCATATCCCCCATCCCCCAAACTTTACACTTGGCACAATGCACTCAGGCAAGTACCGTTCTCCTGGCAACCGCCAAACCCAGACACATCCATCGAAGACAGAGAAGCATGATTCGTCACTCCAGAGAACACGTCTCCATTTCCCTAGAGTCCAATGGCGGCGTGCTTTACACCGCTGCATCCGACGCTTTGCATTGCACTTGGTGCTGTAAGGCTTGATTGCAGCTGCTCGGCCATGTAAACCCATTCCATGAAGCTCTCTACGCACTGTTGTTGTGCCAATCCGAAGGCCACACGAAGTTTGGAGGTCTGTAGCTATTGACTCTGCAGACAGTTGGCAACTTCTGCGCACTGTGCGCTTCAGCATGCGCTAACACTGCTCTGTCATTTTACATGGCCTGGAGTTGCTGTTCCCATTTGCTTCCACTTTGTTATAATACCACTAACAGATGACCGTGGAATATTTAGTAGCAAGAAAATTTCACAGAACACCTGAATCCAATGATTTGGAGAGGTGTCCCAATACTTTTGGCAATATAGTGTATCTACAAACAAAGGCCATGTCAAGAACTGGCAGGCCTAACAAGCCTCTTTCAGCTAACACAAGCAGCGTGGAGAGATCACAGGACAGCTCTGAATTTTTGACACGATTAGCAGGATTTTTTTTTTTTTTTGCACTAAGGGAGTAAATAAAAGAAGTTCATTGTTTACATACACTTTAGGTCTACAGCCCATTGAACTGCTCTGACAATCACTGGAAGTTTCAAAGCAAAAACATGAGTTGATTACCTGATAACTCTGTTTCCAGGAATCTTCCAGGACAGCCATCGAGATATAGGCTCCGCCTGCCTGCAACAGGAAACACATCAACCACATTAAATAAATAGACTCCTCCTTCCATCCCAAGTCAGTAACCTCTAGGACCGAAGGCTACCCCATGCACAAAAGTATCCCCTCCTTCATCCAACCACGGATGCCACCTGGATACACACCAAGGGTGGGGACTGGCTGTCCTGGAAGATTCCTGGAAACAGAGTTATCAGGACCGACGACGCGGCGCGTGCTACACGAGGCGACGGCGCCCCCAGTGACGTCACCCGCCATAATCACAGCCTAAGCAGAGAATCCAGCAACCAGCCAAGAAGACGATGCAGCGCTTCGCGCGAGGTCAACACCCCCATGCTGTCGCTGACTGCACCGCTCCCCCTACCATCAGGTAAGTGCTCTGTATGCTGCAGAGGTATCCGGGACCCCTGGATTGCCTCCAGCCTCCCTGTACACCTCTTCCTGCTGCCCCTGTTGTCACCAGACAGTTGTCCACAATAGGACACAAGCACACTCCAGGTTATTACACCTTGCCACTGCTGTACACCAGGGGGGGCCACCATCTGGTGCCTACTCACGTGCAGGAGGATGGTTGCCTTCCCTGAGTGATGGAAGGGAACCTTGGCCAGAAATCGGGTGGGGGTCCGATAGGGAATCCCTGTAGGCACTGCAGCAGGTAAGCCTGGAGTAGGTCCCAATGCCTAGCAGGGTAAGGCTCAGCCCAAAGGCAAACAAACATGAGCCCTAAAAATAACAAACATTACGATGTCCCTGTGTAGCCGGCGGAAACACAAAAAAACTGACTTGGGATGGAAGGAGGAGTCTATTTATTTAATGTGGTTGATGTGTTTCCTGTTGCAGGCAGGCGGAACCTATATCTCAATGGCTGTCCTGGAAGATGACTGGGGAAAACAGTATCTCTGTTCAAACCGCAAACCCAGTGTGATATGTAGTGCAGTGAAATGCACGCTGGATGGCACTACAGGCCAACGCACTAAAGAGCGGCAAACTGCGCTGCTATGTTAAGACCCTGAATAGAGTCTACACTTCGTAAACAGTGCCACTGCGGCTCACCACTGCCACCCATCGGGCACTAGCTACACAGTAAATTGCCTCATTTGTTTGAGAATTTGATTAGAGAATTTGTTGATGAATTATTTCACAGTACATGCAGCTATAGAGGTCAGTGTTGTTTTAACCACTTGAGTTCTCACACTTGTCCTCCCTCTATAGACCAGATCAATTGTTTTAATTTGTGCTATGGGCGTTTTAATTCAGTAACAACTGTCGTTTGTTTTGGTTTTGCTGAAATAGTTTTGTTTACGCAATTCATAAACAAATTTAACTGGAAAAAAAACAACAGTTTTCATTCTTTGATCAGTGTGACTCTGAAAACAAATATAAATGTTATCATTTGCCTGTTTAAAACTGCGATTCTGACACAAAGTATTGCAAATATTTTACAAATGAGACTTCAATTTTGCACTTAAATTATTGCAACAAAAATGTACAGATAAAATGAAAAATAAAAATCATAAGCAAGATGAAAGTTATGGGGAAAAAGGGGAGGAAGGAGTTAATTAGGGCTGATTTGGGTACATGTAGAGATACTAAAGGGTTAAATAGAAACATTTTATCAAATGAGGTAGTCTCTGTAAAATCCTTTTCTTTGAGTTCATTTTGGGACCTCAAATTCAGAGACATTTGAGTTATACTGGTATCTACAGGAGGATTTAACAAGCCCAGTATAACCACTCCCAGCATGCCTCCATTTTGTAACAAAGTAGTGCTGTGAGCAAGACAATACACACAGGGGTGGTACCCGTGTCCCTAAATGAACTCTAAGATTTCACGCTGAGTACAAAAATCCTGTTTTCTTTTTTTGTTTATTGAGGGACACAGGATTGAGAAACATTTGGGATGTCCAAATGAAGACCACCCAAGGGGTTAGCAACACAACAATACAAATGCCATCAAATACAACTAAAAACAAACTGGAGACTGCCTACAGCTCAGAAAACCGTCTGAAGGACCAAATCTGGCACCAGAAGAAACCTGAACATCCACCTGGTAAAACTTAAGAGAACATGGAAACAGGTG